AGAAACTAGCAATGGGAAAGTACCTCAATAAATCGGTGTGCAGTTTCCTCAGTGGCACCAGTTTCTACTATCATTTCAGGTATCATCTGTATGTGAGATACTGTGCTTGCCTACAGCCTGCCATTGTACCCTAATCACCATATGCACTTTATTTTTCTATCCAGATAATCTGAATGTAATTACAACATTCTTACAATGTATTTTATTTACATGTTTATCAAATAGAAGATAATTTACACAGGGAATATTAAAGTGTGTTAATAATGGTTCGGTTACGAAGCTGTTGGACGTACTCCTTAGCTTGGTCAAAACCCGTCTTTGGTGGTTCTGGAGGTGGAGGAGGGCCTTCTACTAATTTCACAAAGTAATGACACTTGACTTTGTCCATAATCCCAAAAAAGCCTTTCCCATGATAGCGGATCCTTTTGAGGTAGTGGCCCTTTCCAGAGAAGGATTCAGCTAGAAGACATAAATCAAAATGAAAAATTAGAACCCTGCTGGATCTTAAATCTGTTAGAGCAAAATCTTGGTTCCACTTCCATGCATTTGAGCTATGTGAATGTTCTTAGCAAGAACTTACAAATTATTCAGGAGCCAAGTTGGGTATCTAAAGTTTTTCCCAAAATTGGGAATCAAAGAGGCTCACAATTTAATAGAACCATATGAATTAAAAGCATATAAAAATAAACATTAAAAAACAACCAAATCATTCACAGTAGTAAAACAATTCAAATCTTAAGTTAAAAGATTAAAATGCAACGTTTAAAGATTAAAAACTATTTAAAACAGTTCAAACAATACAGCACCCCACAGCCTGTTCTTTAAAAACTTTGTTTTAAAAGCCTGTCGGAATAAAGATTTTAAACTGGAGATGGAAGAACAACATGGAGGGGGGCATTCTAGCCTCCCTGGTAAGGGAGTTCCAGAGTCTAGGGGCAGCTACTGATGATCTTAGGGCTCAAGCAGGCTCATACAGCAATATACCTGTACCTGAACCATATAGGGCTATATAGGGTCATTACCAGCACTTGAATTGTGACCAAAAACAATATTTTATAGGTCTGAGAGCCAGTGGAGCAGTTTTAACAAGGATATAGCACATGGAGCGAAGGGCCATATAAAGATGAACCCAAAATTCTAAAAACTGAGGTGGATGCCGCAATAAAAGAAATCACAAAAAACAAGACTCCAGGAACAGATGACATACCAATAAACTGTTTCAGTCCACACTGACCGAGTCAACTCTAGTGCTAACCAACATATATCAACAGATACGGAAAACAAAATGATGGCCAACAGATTGGAAACAATCAATATACATCCCCATCCACAAAAAAGCAGACACAAGAGACTGCTGCAACTATAGGACCATAGCACTAATCTCCCATGGAAGCAAAATTATGC